GCATACAGAGCGTGTTTTTAAAGTATAGCCTTGCATCTAGAACAACATGTCATTATTTCAGAATTACCCTGTAGGGGTAAAGTCAATACATGTTGCCTGAAATGGATGTCTGGCAGGGATCTTTATAATACTCCGCTATTTGTTTGAAGAGAAGCAGCACTCTTTTGTGATTCTGTGCTCCACCCTGGATTATTTACAAACATGTTAAGTAAGACTAAAAATGTCATCATTATAGTAACTCTAAAAGCAAAGCAGTGAACCAAACCTGTGCGGAGAAGCAGCTACCTGGCCCTGAGCTGAGATCTTTTGAGAGGAAATGCAAGAAGCCTTGGTTTAGGTCTCAATAAAAAACAAACAACAAATGATGAAGGTTACAGACCAAAGTCATCCTGAGACAGACATTCCCTATAGCAGATACAGTTTTCTCACTTTTGTTTGCATACCTGGGGGGATATTTGAATTGTGTCCATTTATTTGGCCCCAGGTGTACTCAACTACTAATCTAAAGTTGAGTCAAACAAACCTGATGGTACCCTGGAAGAGAGGCCGGCAATCAGTGGGAATATACATATGCATATGCACATACACATACATATATGTGTATATATGTATGTGTGTGTATATATATGTATCTATATATACACACACACACATATATAAATACATATATATATAATTTAGGTCAGTTTGCTTGTAGAGCTCTCAATTCTCTTTTCACTCATAAGAACCTGGGTGGCACTGACGGATAAGTATTTGACTGTTAACTGAAAGGTTGACCTTTCAAACCCACCACCTGTCCTGCAAGGGGGAAAGATGAGGCTGTCTGCTCCTGTAAAGATTTACAAAAAGGCTTTAAAACCCTATGCAGAGGGTCACTATCAGTCAAAATTGACTTGATGGCAATGGATAATAAGACCAAGCAAAGATTGAACAGAAGGCATGAAAAAAAAAAATAAACCATATCAAATACATTCTAATTTTAATGTGTTTAAAGGCAGCAGGAGTTTAAAGGCTCATTTCAAATCATCCCTAGGTTACTATGAGATCTGACCCCGAGTGTGTTTTTAAGTCGGATCTGTTGGTAAGTCAGGAGAAGTGCCAACAGTTCCGACTGGCCTTACTTTAGTGCCCCTAAAGAAGCCTTGGTGGTGCTGCGGGTTCAGAGCTGGGTTGCTAATGATCAGTGGCTCAAAGCCACAAGTCTCTCACTGAAGAAAGACGCGTCTGTCTGCAAGATTTAGTCTCAGAAATTGTAAGGAGCAGTTCTGCTCTCTTTTACAGAGTCACGAGGAGTTGCAATAAGCTCTTTAGTAGTGGGTTTTTAGTGCAAGAAGGAGCTCAATTGCTTTTCAGTCATTTAAAAGTTGTAGGCGCAATAAGTGCAGGTGATTGTGATGAAACATTTCTGAGAGAAGGGGCTGGTTTCACTTTTCAAAGTGAGGGCAAGCGTATGCTACATCATGGGCAAGTACACAGGCTCTGCAAGTGAGATGTCCGTGACCCAGGACTGCCTGTACTTCATGCCCCAACAAATAGCATTCCCAGTTCGCTCTTCTTTTATATGTATTTTGAATCTATAAAACACTTACTGTAATACAGTTTCAGTTCCCAGCTAATGCTACTGGTTGTCAGTGGAAGCTTATGTATTGTTATGATGCTGAACAGATTCCAGCACAGATTTTAGACCCACATGAATTAGAATGAAAGGCCAGGTAATCAACTTCTGGAAATAATCGATTGAAAACCCTATGGATCACAATGGCCGGCTCCTGTTGCGCATGGAGTTGATATGAATCAGGAGACCAACCCAAGGCAGCTATGAAGAAGAACAATCCTTTAATACAGATCTGAAACAAAATATAACACTATGGCACTAAGTTAATTTCTTCGTTTTGTTAAATATCAATGTTAGGTTACCATGAGAGGAAATTGGGTGAGGGGCACAACGGAATAATCTCTTGGAATTTTTCTTCTGCTAATCTAACACAGACAGCAGGGCTCCAGGATTGCACCCTATTGTGGGTTTGCAGTGGGAACCTGCCTCCCGGACAGTGATCTTCCCCCTCCACCCCACGATCTTCCGCTCTTGGACCACTTCCATTTCACAGAAAGAGTTTTTTCCTCTTCATCTGCTGGTACCCTCCTCCCTCGAGTAACTCAGAATTCCCAAGGCTGGCCAGTACCTGGACACTTAATGTGGCCAAGCAATGCTGTGCCAACTCAAAAACTAGAGGCCAGAGGCTTCCGTCATCAAGTTCATTACCCAGTTATTCGATATCCAAGATCAATACTAATCAGCAGAACAGACAAACATATGGCACCATTAAAAGACAAATGGGGAACATCCACAGAGGCACTGGTCTAAGTTAACCTATCAATCATATTTTATTACCTTTCAATTGGTCAAAGATTTTCCCTCCCACAAATTGCAAAGAAAATAATAATAACGATAAAAATAATCCTAGCAGTATGAAGGAGCCACATTGATACATGCCAGGACCCTAACTCAGTCCAGACTCTAAGCATCAGAATGACTTGGACACCAGTGACAGAATGGATAAAGAAGTATCTGAGAATTACTATTAAAATCATTTTATGCATCCTATAGTTATGTCTAGCCTAGTTGGAAATGCATACACCTTTAGAATAAGTAATGAAAATGCAGCAACTAGCTAATGTCTTTATTTTGCTGCCCTAGGTTTAGGAGATTTACTTGTGAATTTTGGAGGTTTAATTTTTTTAGGGAAATTCCAGGGTTTCCCACAGGTTACTTCTCCCCCTCACGGCAAGAACAGAAACCATTGTAAGTTCATCCTTGTGGTCTTATAGACAGAGTAACTGTGCCCCATTGGGCTTTCAAGCCTGGAGTCTTTATGGAAGTAAACTGCCATATATTTCTCTTGCTGGTGGGTTTGAATCACTGAACATTTGATTAGCAGTCCAGTACTTTAACACCTGTGCCAACAAGGCACCTAGCTTGTGTAGAGAGGACTCTAATTATGTCTACAACACTCTAGGAGCTAACAGAACAAGCACTCTCTGCTCTTCAGGATGTATCTTTAAGGGAGCTGAAGCAGAGAGAGTTATTTTTTGGTTGCTGATTTTTTTAACAAAAGAATTTTCTGCTTAAAATCAAGTTAACCTAAATGCTTTCCCTTTTATATTTCCCAAGTTTTCCAGATTAAGAAGAGTTTGTGCTATAGAAATATAGATAGATATATAGATGATATATATATATATATATATATATATATTTATACATATATAGATATAGGTATATAGATACATATACACATATATATGATTTGTTCTTAGAGTTCGGCTTCTTTAAGACAGCACCGTTCTTGAGGGCTGATCAACATTAATTACTGACTAGCTCTGAAAGAAACTGGCTCTTAAGGAGGGCTGTGTAAAGAAAGGGAGTCAGGACACCCATTAGCTTGTCTTGAAAACGCTTTTACATCTCTGACATAAGGAGCTATTGAGCTCTCAGAGAATGAGCTCTCCCGCAATCCCAAAATACAAGGTTCCTTGAGTAGATTTCTTTAAAAGATTCCAGCTTTAGTACTTAAAATGAAACAGTCAGCAGAGTCTAGTAACTATTGGCTCGTGGAAGCTGTCCTAGAAACAGTCATGCTAGTGCATCCTGGTAGGGCGGTATGTATTCTTAAATACGGCTTGCTCTCTATGGGGGTTTGCCATCTACAGCTTCTCATTTCCCACCAATTATCCTCTTCCTCTGGCCCAATTCAATTCCCTACATTTATAAAAATTCACAGGCTTTGCATGAAGATGGCAGCTTTTGTAATGAGGTGATACATTTTTCACTTACTGAGAACACTTTTCTCTTTGGGGAAACACTAGTTCCACCACGGCTGTTACGGTTTTAGCAAATCAAAGATCTTGAACTGTATCCTGAAAGAGTAGCTATGACTTCTGCAATGGACTCCTGTTATGTAATACTTGTTCTTGCTATGTAAGGTCCTGGTGGCACTGTGGGTTGGGCTGTTAACCACAAAGTCAAAAGTTCAAGCCCACCAACTGCTCTGAGGGAGAAAGATGAGGTAGTCTGCTTCCTTAATGATTTACACTCTCAACAACCATACATTAAGTCCTCATCAATCAGAATCAGCTCGATGACAGTGGGTTTGGATCTTAGGGGGAGGGTTATTTATGATTAATTTTAGCTAAAACAGCAATATTGCCAGTGAAGAAATCAGTGTTCACTGAGTTTTTCATCACTGTGATTAATATACAAGAAAATTTATAGTTACATTTGCATGAATATACCATTTTTTATGCACGCCTTTGGGGATGAGGAATGGTCCCTTTGTTCTATAATGGTCTTTTAGGCAGTTTCCCACAGTTTGTTTGTCCACCTACCTAACTACTTATCTACCTCCCTCTCAATCTAGCTACCTATCTATTTAAAACGTCCTCAGCATGGAAGTTAAGCGCCTGGGGCTGACTGAAAGGTTGGCCCTTTGAGCACACCAGCTGCACCAGAGGAGAAGCGTGGCTGCCTGCTCCCGTCACACTTCCACTCTTGGAAACCCAATGAAGCAGTTCTGTTCTGCAGAATTGCATTTATATAGCGCCAAAGGTTAGCCACGAGCATGTAGAATACCTTCACCATAGAAGGTAGATCTAGCACTGCTTCACTCCTGGTTCTTCAGTCTAGGTTTTTGATAAAACTACTCCAGAAAACATGCCAATAAAACTGCTGGGGCAAGCAATACTTAGGAAACAACCACATGGCAAATCAGTGAATTCTGTGTCCCACACAGTGACAAAGCTGTGCCCCGCCTTGTCCAGTGCTTCCCTCTTCTCCAGCTGCCAGACAGAATCCTCTCTTGGTTTTGGCGCATTTTCACCCCACCCTGCCTCCCCAGGCTATGTGTTCACGCCATGACACCGTATATCCACAATGCAGCCACAGCCAGCTGTGCTGGCACACACAGAAAGCCACCCATCAACGCAAACTGAAGTCAAAAGTTTACCTTAGTTCCTTGAAGGGGTCTGCCCTGACATTAGGAGTTTCTATGGACTTAGGGAACACCGTGCCCTCTGCTCCTGTAGGAACAAAAGAAGAAAAAAAGCAAAGACAAGTTGGAGGCGTTGGAGACGTCAGCGGGGGCACAATCAGCACACTGATTGGAGCGCATGCCTTTTACGGCCCAGTTCACACAGATGCTGCCACTGGCGTGAGGGCTTCATAACAGAAGAGCTTTGAACCAACGCATGCAAAGGGCCTTTGACAAAATGAGGAATTTCTTTAGGAAATGTTCTTGCTGAGATCAGAGTGAGGCCATTAGGCAAAAGCAATCATGAGTTTTAAAAGGGAAGAAGAATCATTTTTAAAAAAATTAAATAAAGGTGGCTAGAAATGGTACGGCTGGACTCTTTCTCCCTCATTAACTATTAATAACCACCCAACTGGAAATGTTTTCCAAAAGAGCGGCAGAAACCCTCTCAAAGCAATGGAGGGCACAAACTATAACGTAGGGTAGAAAGCATTGTGAGGTATTTGCCAAATGACAAGCAAAATTTTTTCAGTAAATAAAGTTCACTTCTCGTACCTTAAACAAAACAGAGGACTATGAGAAATAATTTGAAGTGCATTGCTTTTACAGTTTGGGTATTAGGATTGATTCCCGACCCAATCTAGACATTTAGCTCTTCACTTTACTATAAGCTTTTATCTTTACGACTTGTCAACACCAGCTAAACCTTTCCAGCCAGAAAGATTGTTATTATCTGATTTGTCCACTCTGAAGTATTTTCAAATCATTTAAACCTCAGTTTATCACACACAATTACACTGGATATTAGATTTTCAATTAAAGGTAGCTGAGGCAGTAACTAGTTCTTCAACATAAAAAGTGTTTATTTTTATACAATCAGTGTACTTCTTTGATGCTGTAAGGGGGGTAATATGTTTCCTGCATATGTGAATTTCCAGAAGTTGTTTGCAATGTTAGGAGGCCTAGACATTCTCTATTGATCACATATATTCCTCATCTAGATTTATCCTTGCATAGGACTGATTCTAGTAAAATAAATAAACCAAATCCCCCTTTGTAACAAACTATGTTGTTCTATTGCACATGGGGACAAAATGACACAATAATTCTCATAATTATTCCTGTACTTGAGCCTGCTGCTTGAGTCACTGAGGCACTGAGTCAACCCATCTCATTAGACCAATCTGATATCTGCTCTTTTTGCTGGCTCTGTATCTTACCAAGCAAGACGCCCTTCTCTTAGGACTTATCCCTGCTGGTAACATGTCCAAAGTACGTGAGATGAATTCTCTCTACTAAGGAGCATTCTGGCTCTACTTCTTCTAAGACAGATTGGTTCATTCTCTGAAAGTCCATAGTATATTCAATATTCTTTGCCAGCACCGTAATTCCAAGCCTTCGATTCTTCTCTAGTCTTGTTTATTCATATCCACTTCCTTAGGATGCAGTCCACAATGATGGCTGTAAAAGTCATTGTTCTTCCCTGGCAAGTGCACCTAATCTTATTTACTTTCAGCATGCAAGCCTGTGTCATCTGCATACTGCATACCGAGTCTTCCTTCTGTCACAATGCCTTTTTCTTCTTGTATAATCCAACTTCTTGGATTTTGTTCAACATACAGATTGACTAAGGATAAACACCGATGTTGCCTTTTCTGCATTTAAACCATCATCTTGTTGTGTTCAAATATCTGCCTCTTGGTCTATATACAAGTTCCGCATGAGCAAATTAAGTGTTCCAGAATTCCTATTCTTCACAATGTGATCCATATTTGTTGGGATTCACACTACTGAATACCTTAGCATCGTCAATAAAGCACAAGTAAACATCATTCTGGTATTCTCTGCTTCCTAACATAATCAATCTGACATTAGCAATGATATCTCTCATGCCACATCCTCTGCTGAATTCACCTTAAATCTCTGGCGGCTCCCTGTCAAGGTATTGCTGCAACTTTTTTTAATTCTCTTCATCAAAGTTGTTTTTAATAGTTCTATTGGCATATCATTCACATATCACTCAACTCCATAATTCAATCATATTTTAAAAAGTTGTTCGATCACCACAACCAATTTTAGGAACATTATCTCAAGTACTCTTTGTTAGATGCCCATTAGCCCTCAACCATCTCTGCCATACCACCAAGAAACCATGAACCCAGTTACTGTGTCTATAGATTTACCTATCCTGGATTTCACACACTGAAAAACATATCAAACAACAACCAAAACAATAACAAAGTAAGACAGAGAAAAAGCTCAATTGAAAAGTTTGTTAGGCCAGGTTGACTAGAGAAGCAAATGCAGTGACACTCATTTATGTATAAGAATGAGCTTTATAACAAGGCATGACTATGTATCAGCACCTATCAAGAAAAATCTATATCAAGAAATCATCCCAGCTCAGCCTAGCTGTGGTAGGCAGGGTTCTCTAGAGAAATAAAACCAGGACACTTAACGATTATACATATATAAGAGGGTAGGTTTATGCAGCAAGAAGGAATATGACAGCTAATTAGTCCACACAGCAGTACAGAGGGCTCAGTTCAACTCACTTCTGTGGAACAGTTAATATACTGGATATCCTTCAACTCATGTGAGTTGCCAGGTCATAGTTCAAGGAAGCAGACAGCAGGGTCCTTCCTAAGGCAAGGCAGGCAGAGCCTGCCCACAGGAAGCAAACAGCAGGGTGGGTCAGCAACAGTTAGTAGTTTGGGAGCATAGCGAAGCAGGCCCAGATGGGATATCAAACTCAAACAATGCAAAGTGACAGGATCTACCAGCCTCAAGCTCATGAGATGTATGTGTCAGCATAATGAAGCAGGTCTCCAAGGAGCCTCAAGCTCTAGCAACATGATCCATGGGTTGGCTTGGCCCACAGGTAGTGTAGCTCACAGGTTGAGTCAGAGAAGTAGCTAAAGCAGCAACATGCTCGTCTAGTCATGAAAAAGCAAGAGAGAGGGAGGGGTGGGCCTTGCAGAGCCATTTATCTCTATGTCCTCCAATCAAACTGCAACCTCATTAATCCCCCATGTTCCTATTAACCAGGTTGGCACAATAAACCTATCACACTAACTCAAATTCATCAGTCTGATACGAGTCTATAAGCCCTTCAGACTCATGCAGCCACGTCGATGCAAAATGCAGGAAGATCACATATCAATGGGTACAGAGTCATGTGGATCCATGGTTGGTGGAGGCATGGCAGGGATCTTAAAGCATTAAGGATGGGCAGCAAGCAGGAACGTGAAGGGGGATAGAGAGAGGAGGTTCCCAGGGTTCTCCCTATAATACTACACCCCAAGGGGGCACAATCAGGCTGACCTGACAGACAGGTTGGATTCTATTCTGTTCTCCCTATAATACTACACCCCCAAGGGGCACAATCAGGCTGACCTGACAGACAGGTTGGATTCTATTCTTACACTTTCACAGATCTTCAAGTTGATATAAAATCATCTAGCTACCATAAAAAGAAAGCAGTTTTTTCCCGGCTATCAAAAGATATAGCGTGTGGGGTTTTAAAGGCAAACAAGCGGCCATCTAGCTCGGAAACAACAAAGTCCACAGAGAAGAAGCACACGAGCCTGTGTGAACACAAGGTGTTGAAGGGAACAGGCAGCAGACACCAAAGAACAAAAACCATCATTGTGTGACCACCTTCCCCACATAAACGCTGAAGACGAATGT